GACATCTCAACAAGGGATATATTGTGATCAGGACAAAATCTCTGGCATAAAGAGCCTAGCTCACTGCATTTAGCCAAGTCAGGGTAGGGGAGGGTGGTAGGAATCCACATCCTTAATAAGCACCCTTGGTGATTTTGACACAAAGGAATGTCTGAGAACCTCTGCTTAAGCCTTTATCTACCACTGTCCTAAGTGGATTACTTGACTATTAGCAGAGACCTAGTAGTATTGGGGAGGAAAGGGCTCTAACAATTCATTAAACAGACTTCTCATGTCTCACAGTTTTGCCATAGTTTTATGAAACTCTAGAAAATTTGAGATTTGAGCCTGTCTGTAGCCAAGTGATTCTCAAAGTGTAGTCCGTGTACCAACAGTATCAGCCTCACTAGGAACTTGTTAGAAATGCAAATTCTCAGACCTTACCTACCAAAACAAGAAATTTGGGGTTTGGGGTCCAGTAATCTTGGTTTGAACAAATCCTCTAGAATGTTCTTTTTAAAAAATATAATTATTCTATTTATTTATTTAATTAATTTTGAACAGAGTCAGACAGTGAGAGAGAGAAGGAAAGCGAGAAAGCAACCCCTTAACCACCATGCCACCTGCCTGTCCCAAATCCTATAGGAAGTTCTAATGTAAGTAAAGTTTGAGAACTACCGTCATATCCTAACTCTCTTGCAACTACAGCATTGTGTAAAGTGATACATAATTTTAGGTGGTTACACTTAGATTATTAACATACACATGAGTGGTTTATCCAATTTGCAGGGGCAAGGAGGGAGACTCACAATTTGGCTTTTTTCGTTTGTTTGTTTTAATTCTTGCTACAGGACATTTGCACTCTCTGGAGAGAGAAAGAGAGAAAGATATAAATAGAAAGAGAGAGAAGTGAGAAAATACCCCCCCCAGGGGAGATGACCATGCTACAGTCCCTTTTCCTAGACTCTTGGTATTTGGGGCATGCATGCACATGCATCTGTTTTTTTTGCTTGTTGTTTTTTTTTTTTTGCCAAGGGTCTGGGATTTGAACTGTGCCATGGCTAGCCCAATTAAGCTATTTCAATCAATTATATTCAAATTCCTATTATGGCCTAGCTGCCATGGTGCAGTGGGGGAACTGAGACCATATTGCTGACCATGGGTTCAGATCCCTGAGTCAGCTTGACAGCACCTCAAGTTTGCAAGTGGGTGCCCAGGATCCTGAGGAACTGGAGGACAGGGGAAAAGGGATTGAGAAGTGACAAAGCTCCATTGAAGGTGTCCTCCTCTCTCCCTCTCTCTCTGTCTCTCTCTCCATGCACACACATGTACTCTCTAGCATAAAAAAAATTAAATTCTTGATCTGTCTTTAAGTCCCTCTGTTACCTTACGCAAATCATAGCTGCTTAAATTATCCCATTCCCCAAAAATAATGAGGCGCTTGTGCTCTTTAATGTAATTAATCCTTTCCAGCACTAACTTTCCATGTTATCCTTTCCATTTCCATATCGATCCATGTCTGACTAATTAGAATAGAAAGATGAGATTAAGGAAGGGCAAACTTTCCTAATAGACTAGAAAAACCCAAGTGCTAACATGAGAAACTGAGAAGCATTACTGGGTGAAAAAAGATTCTCTGGGAAAAACGTAGGCTTTCTGCTTATACAAATTCTGTATGAGTTAACAAAGAATAGGAAAAACTAGGAGAGGAATAGGTGAAATACCTACAGACTCTCAAAGGTGAACTAATGCTGATTTCCTGCTCTACCAGTCAGTAATCTTCACAGTGAGATTTAGATATTCAAGCTACTTAAATCATTTGCATGAAAGACCTTGGTCTTTACCTCTGGGTTTCTTTGGTGAAAAGAGATTTTACAGTAAGACAGTGTTTTGCCTTGCATAATTAACCATGCTGATTGTACAGTGCTTTCACAGGAATTACATCATTTAAGACTCACATAACCCATCTACGTCAGTGACATTTTCCCTATTTTACAAACAAGCAAAAGGAAGCCATAGGAGAAAACGAATTACTCAAGCTCACAAAGGTTAAGTGTTGAATAGCAAGGCCAAGGTCAGCCCAAGGTCCTTACCTTTCCAATCCAGTTTTTTTTCATTGCTTTGCCTTCTGATGGTGAGTGGTGGTGAGTTCAAGGAGAACCAACATCCTATCTTCTTCCTTTTCATCCATTGTCTTTCCAATATCCTTCAGCTTACATTCCCCCAGGCTGCTTAAAAGGGCACTAGGTTGGATGTCAAGAGAGTGAAGTTTTAGTCCTGGTTATGCCACAAAAAGCTGGCTTTTCTCCAACGCGTTTGTCACTTATGCTTCCTGAGTCTCACACTCCCCAAGTCTTTCTCCACGATAGTGTAAAAAATTGAATCTGAGTATCTACTGGTTAATTTTTACATTTATATCATTGTCAGATTGCAGCTGGGGCACAAAACAGAGAGAAAAGGCAAGCCGAAAGGAGTAATTTTAAAAGGATAAGAGAGGGGCCAGCAGGTGGTGTGGTGGTTAAAGTGCTGGACTCCCACATGCTGACCATGGTTTGAGTCCTGTACCTGGCAGCTTGCTTTCTTACTTTCCCCTCTTTTTTTTTTTCTCTCTCTCTCTGCCTCTCTCTGGTCAAATTAAAAATAATAAGTAATATAAAATAATTCTTTGAAAAGAAAAAAGGATAAGAGAAAATAAATGTAACAGTTCAGAGTAAATGTTTAGGGTGTGAGGTTGATAGACTGAAATAGACTCTTCCATTTAGTACCCTTTCCCTTGTCCTTTCCTGGTCTCTCTAGAGGGTGCTCAGATGTGTGTGACTCCCAAAAGCTCAAGTAATTGACTTTTCAGTTTTGTGTTGGTGAAAGAAGTGAGGATGCAGAATAGACACTGTTGTAGGAACCACAGGATCAATAAATTTAAGACTCTCAAACATATATCTAAGCCTATTCTGAAATGCCTGGATTCTGATCCCACTGTGTAGCTAAACAAATAATCTGCTGTCCTGTTAGAATCTGAGTCAAAAGTATGTGAAAGTTCAAACATGGCCAGGGACTTTTTTTTTTTTTTTAAAAAGATCAATGTGGTACATTGGGTGGCTTTGTTTTTACTGCCTTCTAGAACCAAGGAAATCCTTATCCATATCATTCACTCAACTAATGCCTTTCACTGTTTATTTAGAGGCAAGTTGACTTAGTTTCTTAGTATTTGCCTATAGGCCTGTCTGCCTCTTTTCCTCTTCCAGGAAATTCAGAAATACTGACTCATCTGCATTCCTATATTAAAGCCTGCCAGTTTCTCAGTAGTTATCAAGTCCAGCATCTCTATAAGCAGGCCTCACGTGGAACACCAGAAACAGACCTAGACAGGATATAGTATAATCTGCATCCACAGCAAGAGTGGTACAACTACAGAAAACAGTGAGACGGACATGTGAGATGATGCACAGTAAGGCAAGAGGAGAAAAAATAGAAATGACATTCCAGAACACTGAGAGATTTGGGATAAGGATGGAAAGCAATGAGAAGGAATAGTGGGGTACTTCTGAAAGGGATAGCGAGCAAATGTGGTGGTTTACAAAATCAATTTAGTGATTTTCAGTCAACGTTTACAAAATATGCCATAGAGTAAAAAAAATGCAGGATGGCATAGTAGAGAAGGACCAATACTGTTTTGGAAATATTTTCCAACATATAAAAATATTTGTAAAATGCATTTACGTATTGTAACTATCATCCATATAATAAATGGATGCGTGCTATCACGCACAGACTGGGTTGTTTTGTAAACTATTTTCCCTACGGGTCTTCAAAGACTCTAGAACACAGAACCCAAAAAAGTCCTAGTAAATTCAGTCAGTTCTTTCAGAGCAGTTAATGGAGGGAGAGGAACTGATGTGCGGGGGAGGGGACACCAGAGTGAGGCCAAGGGAGCAGCAAGGGCACATTAGGACAGAGAGGTGCTGAGCGCCTAAGGCCTGCATAGTCAGTTAAGGGACTTGGGAAGATTGATTTTTGAGCACTTTACTTAAATGCTGAATGAAAGTAACTCCCTGTCCTTTGACCCTGAAAATCCTACAAAGCTGAGAGATTCGCGTCGCTCCTTGAAGTGACCCCATGTGGGAGGGATTATTACTATTATTATCAGGGGTCGAGAGCGGGGGAGGTGGGCGGGGCGTGGGAAGCGCGGGAAGACCGGGTCGGGTAGGTCCACACAGCGACTCACGTAGCGCTCCGTACGGCCCAGGGGAGGGAACAAACAGTTCTGCACTTTGGAAGCCATCCGCGGGCACG